GAGCCCCCTCACGCCGCGGCGGCGCCCGCAGATCTTCATCGTCTACTTCATCGCGGGGCTCAAGAAGCTGGACGCCGACTGGGTGGGCGGCTACTCCATGGGCTCCCTGTCCCGCCACTGGCTCTTCGCGCCCTTCAAGTGAGTTGGGGGGCCGGGGCGGCGCGGCGGCGGCGCCCGCCACGGTGCCCAGYGGCACCTGCGGCGCAGGCTGGTGCTGTCGGAGGAGGCCACGAGCCTGCTGGTGGTGCACGGCGGCGGGCTGCTGCTCGACCTCTCCGCCGGCTTCCTGCTCTTCTTCGACGCCACGCGCCCGCTGGCCCTCGTCTTCGTCACCTACTTCCACTGCATGAACTCGCAGCTCTTCAGCATCGGTGAGGGGCGGCCCCGGGGGGCACGGGCAGACGGGCCCCTGCTGCCCCCCCACACCGTGGTGTCCCCCATGGGCACGTGCCCCACACCGTGGTGCCCCCCACACCGTGGTGTCCCCCATGGGCACGTCCCCCACACCGTGGTGTCCCCCCCACACCATGGTGTTCCCCACATTGTGGTGTCCCCCATGGGCATGTGCCCCACACCATGGTGCCCCCCCACACCGTGGTGTCCCCCACGGGCACGTGCCCCACACCGTGATGTCCCCCAGACCATGGTGTCCCCCATGGGCACATCCCCCCACACCATGGTGTCCCCCACACTGTGGTCTCCCCCACGGGCACGTGCCCCACACCGTGGTGCCCCCCACGCCGTGGTCTCCCCCATGGGCATGTCCCCCACACTGTGGTGTCCCCGACGCGGGGGGGACATGCCTTGTGTCCCCCACGGGCATGTGCCCCACACCGTGGTGTCCCCCACGGGCGTGTGCCCCACACCGTGGTGTCCCCCACACCGTGGTCTCCCCCACGGGCACATCCCCACACCGTGGTCTCCCCCACAGGCACATCCCCCCACACTGTGGTGTACCCCCACACCATGATGTCCCCCACGGGCACATCCCCACACCATGATGTCCCCCACGGGCACGTGCCCCACACCGTGGTGTCCCCCATGGGCACGTCCCCCCACACCATGATGTCCCCCACACCGTGGTGTCCCCGACGCGGGGGGGACATGCCTCGCGTCCCCGCGCAGGCATGTTCCCCTACACCATGCTGGCGAGCAGCGGGCTCTTCTGCGAGCCGGGCTGGCCGCGGCGCCTGTGCGCGCGCTGTCCCGCGTGGCTGCG